TTCATCTCACTCACTCACTCACTCATCTCACTCGTTCAGCCACGTACGCGCGTCCTCTCCCTCTTTATAAACCACGTTAATTGCATATGAATTACATGCGTATCGTTTCAGAGTAGAAATCGACTGGCGCCAAATTAGTATTCTTGCATTGCAATAAGTTTTACCGTGCCGTATGTTGTCGTAATCAAGCAAATATGATGTAATGAGTCGCTTCTGAACGAATATGAGGACAGCGTTTCCTGTCTGCATCACCGCTCTGCCTCGAAATGCTGAAGGTGTCTACGACAGACAAATTCTATGAGATGTGGAAGACAGATGCATTTCGTATGAGTCAGATGTATATTGCATGTAGTATTGCACAGCACACTGTTGACCTACGCATTGTTGCATTTTCTTTACTCTGAGGAAGTTTGTCTTTGCGGACGCGACAACATTTCCTTCTTTATAGCTATGCACAATGCTTATCTCTTGTAGAATTTCACCTCTATCTATCCTGAGACAATTGCAACTCAAGCAAGTCTTTGCGGACTATTGCAATTGTCTCCCTAAGCATGTTCATCTGTCTATCTCTTGATAATCGAATTGTTGAAAAATGATTGAAATAAGTATATGAAATTTAATATGAAGTTTTAGAAATATCAAATTTACTGCAATGTGATATATTTTGATTATACATACGGCCCTTATTGTCACATAGCCCCCCACCCCCCTTGTGTGCTGTGTGGTGCAGCGGTATTGATCTCGTCTAGCACTCTTGCTGACCTGCGTTCGAATCCCTCGCCGCCAGTGGATGGTAACCCCGGCCATTCCTTGCACACAGGGGATAACTTAGAAGCAAAATGAAACAGACGGTATGTCACACCAAGAATATCCATTGTGACAAATGGAATCAAACTAATATTAATATTATATTGTCCGCCTCCTGCCTCTCTGCTTCTCTCTGCCCTTAGTGTACTTGTTTCAGAAAATGTCAGCGCAGCTACGCGAGAAGGGACGCAGCCTGCCAGGGCGCACGTCGAACACCGGCAGAGGCGCAGGACGCGATCGGGAGGAGGCCGTTTGGGTCCAGCACCGCGAAGGTTCGGTATCGCCAAATCTACGACAGACTCGCTCTGCGTCAGGCATCCAGAGACTACTTAACACATACCGGGCAACCCGTGAATTAGCTCAAGACAGGGCGGGGGAAGCCAGGCCCGCCAATCCTGACGACCGACCCCATGGATGCAATCTCAAGGACCGCCAAGCTCTCGCAACCGCGAGGGTTTTGCCGCGTAATCAAAGATTGCAACCATCGAGGGCCAAGTTTTCGCGACTGTAACAGTTGAGCTGTTCCTCTGCCTGGACATGGCCCTTCATCTGGAGAAGAGCATGCCGGCTCTCACTCCCTCATCTTTGTCCCTTGCCTGAGCATAGGAAGTCCAAGTTGCAGCCCTTCGAAGACGACGGGTGGCTGCGTGTGTCGAGCGTTCTGAGATATGCCT